CATGATTTTACACTTTTCATACCCAGAGAACAGACAGCGGCCACAATTGAAGATGTCTTGTAAAGATTTATTTACAAGTGTGATAAGAGCAGCGATAGACTGTGGAAGAATGGACTACTGATTTTGAGAGTTGCAGCAACTGAAAAGGTTTGAAAAGGCTGAGGCATTACTGGAAAGTGCAGAGAAGCTGAGCTCGGGAGCAGGTTGGAGGCCCGGGGTGAGCAGCTGGGTATCATTGGAGAGTGGGCAGGCAGGCTAGTCACAGATAAGACTGAGAAATCCACTGGCAGTATTTGGGTGTGTGGGTGACAGAAGCTTTGGTCAAGGGAACACTGGCTGACTTTCCAAAAACAGGCAACATGCTTCAGGCAGGGAAACTGGGAGAAAAACAAAGACACAGGGTTAGAGGCAGGAACAGAGAAACAAACACTAGACTGAGTGAGCCAAGATACCACAGTTGTGGACATAATGAACTGGCACATAACAACAGCCAGACCCTGTCCTTAAAAAACACAGCCACAATAAAGGGATTTACAAGAGGTGTGGAAGCGAGCTCGTGTAGGGCAGCACAGACCAGGTGAAGTCTGCATCTGAAATAACAAAGCACAGAGGAACCTGCCCAAACCCTAACAAAACTTAGCACAAAATAATATGACTACTTATACACTGTGCTGCATTCCTGTTAATTAAAACAGTTTTACAGAAAGTTGAGATGTTTGTTCATGTGCATGTCCTAGAAGCAAAATATAAAGACTTTCAATTGATTTTTTTTGTACCTGACACAAAAGGCACAAAAAAATGCAGCTTTTCAGTCTTTGTCTCCTTTCTTTTTGTTGCAGTTGTTGCAGCTTCAGGACCTGCACCCTCTGCCAAAAATAATCCTGGACTACAGGCAGGTCTGGCATGTTCATTATTATTATGAATCATCGTTATTATGAAAAATGAATGAATGGGAAATTCATTTCTGGAGCAGGAGCCCCTTAAAGACTGGGCGGTCACTGTTGAGCTCTGTAGAAATCAGTTTCATTTTTGTCAGTCTCAGAGTCAGAAAGGATTATCCAGGTTATGTTCATTGGCCAAAATCACAAATCACAAATCATTGTATAATCATTATACAGTTCCACTACCAGATGAGACAAGTGGGACTTCTCTAACTAATGGGTGTGTTATTTTGACCTTATCTGTCTTTTATACTATGATGTTTTCTTCCCAAGTTATTAAATCTGTTAGTTGTTCTTTTTAAGATGATCATTGTTTAGCTTTACCTTTTGGGGGTTACATAAGGTATAGAGATAAAGTGTTTTATTGTAACAAATAATTGCATTGTTGTT